CCGAAATGGCAGTCATCGAAAAATCGGCGCTATCGTGAATGTGTTGAAAAAGTATACAACTTTCAAAATTCGCCATCCCTCTACATTCATAAAACCCAGGTGTTGAAAGATAAAACGCACCGCCCCCGTCCTCGACCTCTTCCAGTGCCAGGTGCCTTTCCGATTCCATTCACTTTCGAGCCACGTTTACCGCGTTTTCCCCGAGTTGGTGGCGCGAAAACGTTCGGATCACCACCTAACGGCTTGACGCCTCTAGTTTTGGAACTCCCTCGACCAGGCTTCTTTTTGGCACCTCCTCGTCCACGCGATGTATAACCACCACGAGAACTGAATACGAAGATTAAGCAAAAAGAATGCGTATACTAATGTGGAAAGACTAGCTGGACTCAAATAACAGCCACTGACCTCCCAGGAACAAAATCTTCATCTACGTCCGATGGCGAGTTCTCCGGATAGAACGGCGAATTTCGGGCGGAGTCGCTAGTTGTTGCAGGTGACGAGATGCCCTCAGACATGTTGTACACATCGACATTAAAATCTGGTACGACAGAGGCGGATGTGACCGGAGAACTTGACCGGAATGGATTCAGCGTCATGTCAGATACAGATGCTGATGATGGAGCAGCTATAGAATCTAAAATAGCAAAAAACTGTACTTTTTTGAAGCCTTTAAAATGAAAATAAAAATCTTACCGGACTCAGCTCCAAGCGGCGAAGCTGGACCAATTGCAGCAGATAGCATGATGTCACCTACTAACGGTGATCGACGGCATGATGCACAAACGAACTCCGACGAATTCACGTCCGATCGGTCGCACTCCCGATGAACAAATCTGAGCAACATATAAGAAAGATGCTAGAATATGGCAAGGCATTCTCTACTGCCTCAACTATGCGCTATTGTGAGAGCAATTGTTATACCCATATATTTTGAAATCCGCTCATGGTTAAGAAAACTCGTCAAAAACTTAGAGCACCTTGAGCAAACTAATAACAATAGAATCAGTACGGTGCACATTTACAAGGATAGAAAATCTGACCGATAAAGAGATAAGAAAGGAAGAAAAAGCAACCCAGAGGTTGAGCTGAAATATTATGAAGAGAAGTACAACTTGGTAGCAGTACACTAAACATTCCAAAGCAAATATGGGGAAAAGGAGAAAAATTGGAAAGTGCGCAAGAAACAAAAGCCTTCACAAAGTTACGAAAGGCAAAATTTAGGACGCGCTGATTTTGATTTTGAAAGCAATAGCGACTACTTCTAGCGCATACGACAGAAAGCTACCCAAGATTTTCATTTTCCACGGAACATCGGCAAAACTTATAGCTGAGATCAAGACTTTCGAACAGCTCGAAAGAATACCAGAAATGCTAGAAAGCCGCAACAGTCTAATCCAATTCGAAAATAGATAAGTTCTGCATTAATGTCTGATTTCACTAACTACGAGTTGTAAGCCAATCATCAAGAACATTGAATAAAAAATGCAAAGGTAGTGATAGCGCCAAGATATCTGATAGTAAGGCAGTCTAGATCTCTGAACTTAAGATTGAACAAAATGAAAAGGTTAAGACTCAATAACAAAATAAGTTCGCCTCATATTCAAGACGAACATCGCACAGCGGTAAAATTTAAAAAAAA